CTAGAGTCTCGTTGGCCATTTTTACGGAACCGTCTCGTTTTGTCTTCAACCAATTAAAATTGAGAGTATAAAATGTAACCATGTGGTGAATAACGTTCTATAATATCATAAACTAATTGAGAAAATGATCACTTTTGCCCAAAACATCAAGTTTTTGGCCAATTTGACCCAAAATATTTTTGGGAAACCAAATTCATCATCTAAATTTTAACTTTTAGCCAATTTAATCCAAATTGATGAGAATTCTGTTAGATTTAATATTTCCAACATTCCGTTACTTTGTATAATTTTTATTTGTAAAAAATTTTGTTGACCCAAAATTTTAACATTTTATCCCTAATGTTTTGTTATTCACTAACACACGCTTATCTTACCATTTAATTATTATAACGTCCCTACCACATAATTTAACTCCTATTCTAATTCATTGCTCCCACCCTATGTCTCTTCTTTTTCTTCCTCTTTTACTTGTGTTCCGCTGCTGCACGACCACCGCCCCTTTCCTCTTCTCTCTTAAAAACTACCATCACCACTTCCTAAATCTGTGAGGATTTCAAACGATCACCACAAACATAAAAATTTGCCTCCACCAACAGTACACAATCCTCCCTCTATCACTACCCGCATTTCCGTCGCCGCCACTTTTCTTCAGTTCCACAAAAATTATAAAATATTTTACTTATTTTTCCTTTTTTTTTCCTTCTTCTTTCAAAAAAATTATACAAAGTAATAGAAAAGGAAAAAAATAGCGGTTACACCGTTTTGACCCGTCGTCAATTTTACCCTATTGATTTTCGATTAGCCAATTTTGTCCTTTATGTTTGAAATGTTTGTCAATTTCATCCAATTGGTCAAATTTCCGTTAAACTTAACGTATCTCTGTTAGTTTTTAACAAAAATACCCCAATAGTTTCAAAATATTATAAAGATAACTCACAAAATATTTTTTGAGTTATCCGTAACCTGAACGTCGTTTTCATCCTTTCTCTTGCTTAAAAAAAATGTAAAAATAACTAAATATCCCCTTTTCACTTGTATTCATTTTAATCGATTTCATTTTATTTCTATTTACAACTTTTCATAACCATCAAAATATACTATATGATCTTTAAAAAATAATTATTCATTTTCAACAATATTTTTCATGTGCAACACACTTGAGTTGGGTTTAGAGGTAATTTTGTCTTTTTATGTTTTTAAAAAATTTTAATTTAATTTAATTTATTTTTTTAACAATTTTCTTCTTGTACTCTCTAACTAGTATAGGTTGGCACTAGTATAATTACTATATTTCAAGAAAAAATATTTACCTTTTGTATTTCAATTTTGGGTTTAAAAAAATATTAAAAAATATACTGTTAAAAAATATACGTATTTATCTTTGTCATGAAATTCAATGATTGCTTATATAGTTTAGCTCTCGGCAAAGTAACAATAACAATTACTAAAAAAGAATAAAAATTGTGTTAACGAAATTTAAAACAATTCATCATCGTGGACTAAATAAATTAAAACTTTTTCCTATTTCAAATGATTATCTAATTTTTATATTATTTTTACTATCACAAACAAAATAATCATTTTAGGTTAGATCGAGTAAAATTTATATTTCGTAACTTACCTATGAATTACAAGAGGTCAAGGAGGAAAGACTTGTCTTAGCAGTTGTTTTTTTAAGATTTTTTTTTGTTTAGAATGATAACCTATTAATTTTTGTATTTATTTCAACTCAATTTTTTCTTCCTCATTTTCTTTATTTTTTAAACTTTTTTTTATAATCTATGAAATAAAAGATAAATTAATTAATGAAATTTAGTAATTATACTAGTACAACGGATACAAGTCAGGAAGTATAAGAAAAAGAATAGTAAATAACAAAAAATAAAAAAATTAATTAAAGATTTTAGAAATATGGCAAAATTACTTCTGAACCAAACTCACATGTTTGCACATGAAAAATAGAGTTTGAAAATAAATACTTATTATTTTAAAGATCTTATAATTTATTTTGATGGTTATAAAAAGTAGTAAAGAGAAATAAAATGAACTAAAATAAATAATGAAAAGAGATTATTTTGTTAATTTTACATATTTTGGGGTTATTTTTATAATTTTTTGATACTATTGAGATATATTTTTGTTAAAAATTAACTGAAATCCCTTAAGTTTAACGGAAACTAGGCCAAATTGGATGAAATTCGCAAAAATTTCAAACATAAGGGACAAAATTAGCTAACCAAAAATCAATGAGGTAAAATTAACGACTCGATTAAAACTTCAGGTACAACCGTCATTTTATCCGTAAAGGAATGTCAGCGGAGGTGTTAAATCTAACGAAATTTTTGTCAATTGAATGAAATTGGCTAGAAATTGAACCTTAGATGATGGATTTGGCTTCGCAAAAATCTTTTTGGGTCAAATTGGCTAGACACTTAAAGCCTTGGGCAAAATTAACCAATTTCTCTAATTTTTTCAGTTTAATCAAGTGTGTTTAGGTATATTTACCTATGACGCACCCTCATTGTAATCCTACGGTTGTTAATTAGCCTAATTAATCTTACGGTTATTATCTTAAAACGGAACCGTCCCGTAACGGGACTCTAGCCACTCCCTAAAAAAATCATAATAACAAAACAGTTGGTCATTAACTTGGTAGTTGTATTCTCATAACATAGTTAAGGCACACATTTAAACTAAATGTAATAAACGGGGAGTAAATTGATATTGGGAGTAAATTGATATTGCCTTCTTCAACTCCGAGTTTGGAATTAATCACTTTCTCTCGCATAGAACATACAAATATTGAGAAAAACATTGGAGCTGATGAGTGGGGGAGCTAAGGTATAACCTAGAAGAGAGTACTCTTCCCATTATCATTAAAGATTTTGAAAGGAGGGAGGAAAAAAATGATTCGTGCAATCTGCGAGCCATTTTAGTGTCCAGGATTGCAAAATCATGCTACATTCCACATCAATCTTTGTTAATATTTTATTTTTTAAAAAAAATATTATATTGATATATTTAATTGTTTGTTACTTGGTCTGATCGTATACGTTGTAGACCCTCTAAACAGTGAAAACATCAGAGAATCAGCATTTGAAGTTGGAATTGATATGTTGTATCATGGAAATATGGATTGCCTAGATCTGTTTTTGTTGCACGTACCTAGTCTTCATAAGTTTGTTTTGTTAAGGCTGAAAACTTTTATTGTCAGATCTTGATATAGCGTAAATCTTCCTTCACTAAGGGAGTTGGATTTGAGGTCTAATTGAATAGATGCTGATTTTTTTTTGAGCATCTGTTTTGCGCCTCGCCACTTCAAGGTTCTAAAATGTCTGATGCACAATCCAGATCCTTGTCTCTGGGACGTCAAACACTTAATTGTAGGAATGCGTTATACTTCTAACAATAGGAGCGTACCAATCAATTGGAAATGCTGAAAGGCCTGCTCTGGACAACTCCTCAATTGGATAGTTATCCTTTGATGATCTCGATTCCGCCATAACTTTTCAATTTATGATACATGAGAATTAACAAAATTGTGGAGGAGGTGCCTTTTGTTTGTCAGAGCAAGGATTTGGTTAAGGTTAAAGTTAAACCATTGGAAGTACTTGAGATGATGTCGAAGGGTCCTAGGGACTGTGCTGGATCCATTCAAGAAGGACAGTCCAAGAAGGTCAAAGGTGTAGAAACAAACATTCGACTCTGAAATTGAATCGCCCTAACTTTTTTTTTAAACTTATGCTCCTTCCATTTTTGTGTAGAACATATTTTCTCACAAGTTATTGTAGAACATCTGATCACACAATGTTTTTTTATGCTTCTTTACGAGAGAAATGATAGCATAACCTTAAAATTATTTTTGTCGAAAATGTCACCTCTAAATATAATTTGGTCCAAAAAAACTTTTCAAAATTGTCGCAATATTGCACCTATCATAGTTTTGAATACAATAAAAAAAAAATAAAGAATGCACAAAACATGACACCTTGAAAGCTCACGCCATGAGCACGATTTTAAAATGAGGGGAAAAGAATTATCTCTTTTAAAAAAGTCACTCCAAATAAATTTGAAAATTAAGGTGGCAAACTGGCATACACATACACATACATGGAAAAAAAAAATAAAAGAAAAAGATACATACTGAGTTCCCCTCAATTTGTATCCAAAAACTTAGATCACGCATGCAAGAGGACATGGCTGATAGATCATTTCAAGGATTAATTCACTAAATTGTTTTGAAGGAAAAAACAAATCAATTCAATTCGTTACAAAACACATCAAGAATTAAATTATGAAAATTACTGAAGAAGCTACTAAGCAATTAAATTAAGAATCAAACGGCAACCGGGATGTAGTTCACTACTTTCATAGTCCACGGTCAGTTTCTCAAAATTTAGGGTATGTTTGTTTCGTTTTTTTAGTATGTGTTTTTAGATGTTTTTTTTATTGGGAATGTAAAAGGTTGTATTGAAAATGTAAAAAGATATGATGGAAAAAGAAATTTATTAATATTTAATTCTGAAAAAACCTAATGAAGAATGAAACAATTAGGTTCCTAGTTCCCACACAAAAATAAATAAATAAATTTAAGCATCCTAAGGATTTGTATTGTTCCACATTTGAAGTTTACACTTTTTCATATTATATCATTAATGAAAATGGACATTGTTGTTTTTATTTTATTTTGACGTGTCAAAGGGGGGACTGTGTACTACGGACTTTGGTTCTTTTTATAGTTTCTTCATTTCTTTTGTTCTTGACTGTCCGGTCTAAACTGATTCGAGAGATTTTTCTACACTATTATTAATTGGAGAAATTAAATACGGGACCACCCATGATATTCTTAGAGAAAAAAAAATATCTATCCAGTAACTTTTCTCTCATTTTGGCTAAAAATAGTTTTAAAACCTAAAATGTATCTAATTTTACCCAAACCACGATATTCGATTCATCTCAAAATAAGATACAAAGAATTTCACAAACAGGATTCTTATTGTGTTGGAGAAGTGGAATTAATTCTCTCTCTAAAATGTTATATTCCGGCTATAACTGTATAACATCGAAAAAATAATGAAACATATAAAAGTAAATCAAACAGGCATAAGTGTACTTCAATTTCATTATATTTTTTTTATTATAAGAAAAGACAGAATCTCCAGGACATTACACTACAAGAATAAATTGCCTCAACACCATGCTGAAGCTCTTGAGCAGGAAGAATGGAAGATGCATATGATGCAATTAAGTGTACTCCATATTCCATAAAATTGGTAAAGAAATACATCCTCAATAAACAAAGAGTAAAGAGTAAATCGAATAGATTATTAGTAAGGAAGAGTTGGGATGCTCTGTTCGTTCCTGAAGAAATTTCCAGGGTCAACAGCCGTCTTCACTTTCACCAACCTATCAAAATTCCCCTTGAAATACTTCTCCCCGTACACTTTCCCTTGCTTGTAACTGTTCTTCCCGTTAGCATTTTGTCCAATATCAAGATCCCTGTAATTCAGAAAAGCCTGCCTGGGATTGCTGGAAACATAAGGCGTCATGAAGCTGTAAAGCTCTCTGGCTTCACCAAGATACTGTTTTGTCAGATTCAACGAAGCATCTTGCCAATTCACTGAGTACTGAATCTTGTAAATCACCCCTTTCCGGTGAGGGAACGGCGCGTCGCTTTCGGCGATTTCGCTCATCTTTCCGCCGTACGGATTGAACACTAATCCCACTTTTCCAAGCTCAACCATTTTGTTGAAAATGGAGGTGAATCCATTTTTGGTAATTGGAGTCAGGACATAGTCGGATTTCCTCTTCAGGAAATTGACTGAATCAGGGGTTCTGTTCAGCAATACTTCTTCTGCGGTTGAGTTGTCGAAATTCATCCAGATCATCATCGATTTGACCCAACTCGTTTCAGTGCAATCACTTTTCTGCAATTTCAGAAGCGGGAGATGAGAATTCAGAACAGAAAGAAGGCTGTCTGAATCTCCCATGTAAAATCCAATAAACGTCAATCTGATGACTTTTGTATTGTTGGCTGTAACGGGTTGGACAAGAACCCTGATGAAGAGATTCTCATCGTATTTGTCTGCAACTTGTTGCCATTGAACAAGAATATCCGTCGCATTATCTGCTTCGAATTTCTTGACATTGAAAACGGTTACGGTTTCAGGAACAGGGACCAAATTAATCTTGTAAGCCACAATGACTCCGAAACTTGCTCCCCCGCCGCCTCTAATTGCCCAGAACAAATCTTCCCCCATTCCTTTCCTGCCCAGAACTTTGCCATTCACATCAATGATCTGTGCGTCAACAACGTTGTCCACCGTCAGGCCGAATTTACGCAGCATAGGGCCGTACCCGCCGCCGCTAAAGTGGCCGCCAACGCCTACGGTGGGGCAAACGCCGGCCGGGAAACCGTAAACGTTACTCTGTTTCCAAATCCCATAAAAGAGTTCCCCGAGGGTTGCCCCGGATTGAACCCAGGCGGTTTTACTATCCATATCGAAAGTGATGTTACGAATATTGAATAAGTCAAGAATGACAAAAGTTTTTCTGGAAACGTAGGAAATACCTTCGTAATCATGGCCACCACTTCGGATTTTGAGCTGCAAATCTGCCTCTTTTGTGCAGAAAATGGCTGCCTGGATTCCCTGAATATCCAATGGCGTGACAATTATGGTCGGTTTCTTCGTGGTTGAAGTGTTGAACCTTTGATTTCGAACATAGTCATTCAGAACAGTGGTGAATGAAGCATTTTCAGGGCTGTAAAGAATATGAGAAATTTCATCACTTGGGATTCCCTGTTTTGTTAAACAATTTGCAAAATAGTCATAGGTTGAATCTGCTGAAACGAAGAGCGATTGAGAATCGAAAAACAGGAAGGGAAGAAGGAGAAAAGCGGACAGCATTGTTGAAGAGAGAGGAAACTGCATACTGAATACTGATTAAAAAATAAAAATAAAAATTTTGATGAATTGTTGTTTTTCTGAGCATTGAATTATATTGGCAGTTGCGGGATTGACATTTCATTGAAAAAAGACTTGGAATGGTTTGAATGTTATTAAATTCATTCATGTGTAAGATTTCTTACCATAAAAACAATAACATTGGAGGAAACCATTTGACTCATTCTGGATTAACGCGCAAAATTAGATAATCACGGCGAAATTTCTAAACTTTGTTCTTCAAACTATTCTTGTCATTTTTCGATTGATTTGGTAGATCATTTACTAGAATTAATTAGTAGATTCAACTCGCGCGTTGGAATTTTCAATACGGGAAGATGATTGGTATATATGTTTTTGGGTTGGTGATTGATTTGTTTTCACTTTTTTGGAGATAAGAAGGGTAAAATATTGACAAATTAAATTCCAATCAATTCCTTCTCAAAATTGACTTGGAAACTCAGACTAGGGGCCAAGTATTCGGTCGAAAGAAAGTAAATGATAAGGACAGGAGAGGAGACAAATTGAATAGGCTGATTTGGCCAATTTATTCAGAGTTGGCCTAGTACAACAGAAAGTTCAAATTTTTCTACACACCAAAAAAAAATATTAATACTTTACGCCTGGTACATTGTATCAAAAAAAAAAAAAAAAAGAAATTCTATGCCCCAACCCTGAAGTAATAAAGAGAAATAAAATGAAATAGAAAAAAATGAAGAAAAATGGATTATTTTATTATTTTTATATTTTTTATGGTTATTTTTATAATTTTCTGAAACTATCGGGATGTTTTTTGTTAAAAACTAACGAAAATCCGTTAATTTTAACGGAAATTGGGCCAATTGGATGGAATTGACAAAAATTTCAAATAGTAAAAACAAAATTGACTAATCGAAAATTAATAGGGTAAAATTAACGATGAACTCAAAACTTTGGGTATGAACGCCAATTTTTCCGACTTCGACCTCTTTCTTTGAAAAAAAACATATATATGATAATGTTGGATTATTATTTTCTGACATTTATTTCCATAGATATAAATAAAGAGTAGTTGATTTGAATCATCGTTTTTCATACACATTTTTTCATCGCTTTTCTTTTTTTTTTTTGGAAAAAAGAAATTGATCTAATTTGTAATTGAAGTACCTTATACTACATATCTTCATTTCTAGAGGTTTTCTTTTTCCATATATATTTTTGTATTCAAAATTGTCCCTTTCTGGGTACTATATGCAGCAATGTGATTTATCATTTCATGTGGAATTGAAATTGCAATTGATAAAATGAATTAACTAATGCTTTTTTTTAGAATAATTAATTAGTTCTTACATCAACTAAATATTGCTTTTCTGAAAATGTGATGCAGGAAGAACGTAATACTAATATTTATTAGTAAAAGGCTGTTGATTTCCTAATGTGGCGACATCTTCATTGCTTTAGTGTATTTCAGCAGTATATTATCACGCCTTCGAATCTGGCTAAGAGTGCTCAATTGAAATTGGCTCAATTTGATGTCTTTAATTAAGCTGTTGATTTTTCAATATTTTTACAATTGTTCCTTTATTTCATTCTTCCTGTTTATGTTCTTCATCTCTACACAGTAATAACAAAGGTCTGATGTATCAGAGAAAAAGACTTCAATTATTCATCTGGTTTCTTCTTAAAGTGCATTATTTTATTTTATTTTTGAAATAAAGACTTTTTTGTATTAACTTTATTGGAATTCGACCAGGAACGATTGACAGGAAAAAGATAAGTCACTGAAATATTACAACGGCCTAAATGCATAACATTTAATTGAAAATTGTTACTTTTATTATAATTCAATTGATAGATCTAGATCAATTTGGTTGAATTCTTCAAATATCGTACATGTCTCGTACCAAATTATGATACCGAACATGTCACTTTTTTTTTAATGAAAATTCCATTTTATAGATTCAATTATCGGATATATGGTAGCTGCATCTTCTCGAACAACCCACAATCAACAATTCAATGACTATTGATCGCCAAACAAACCACGAACTTAGGTTTGATTTTTCTAATTTTTTTAACTCAGTAAGCCATAACGCGACACGTGTCCAAAAAATGAATTGTTTTAATATACAAAAGATTCAAACTACAAATGTGAAAAAAAAATATTAAAATAGAAATAAAGTAACATTTCCACTATGAATTCTACAAAAGGAAAAATTGGAAAAAAAAAAAATATATATATATATATATATATATGTTAAAAAAATCGAATGCAATCCTAGAAGCAGAAGAGCATGGAGAGTTCAAGCAGAAATCTTTTTTTGACCCGTTTCATTATTCTCAGGCTTTCATTGATGGACTTGCCGTGAGGGCCGATATCCTGTGGCTAGGCTCATACAAATCAAGGGGCTTTATTTTAGCTTGCCTTCTAGACCGCAACTATACTACCAATAAGATCAAGTTATACAATAGTTTGATATTGTATGGGCTTATCAGAACGGAGATTTGGTTATGGGTTTTGCAACAAATTTGGGCCACTATAATAGATTAGAGGCAGAAATTTGGGCTGCTTTGTATGGGCTCAAATTGCTTGGGACTTAGGATTTCGTTCTGTTATTTTAGAGTTAGATTGTGTAGAAGAGGTTAATTTCTTAGTTAATGAGGATTAACGTCTTTTGTAAAGTTACAGGTTTACTAAAACCTCCGGTGGTTCCTCGTAACCAAAACGAGGTCGCGGATGTATCGGCAAAATTTGGATTTCACTGTCCTTTTGATAAGCAAATTTTGTCTAACTCCTTTGTGCCAAGTTATGAATCTTTTGGAGTCTCATAAGCCATCACATCCCCAGCTCTATGGGATGTTTTGTAATTTAAGCCTCTGGCTTTCCACATATATAGCTTGATATGGTCTGTTTCCACAGTTGACCGATGCTTCCAAAAAAAATACTAACGATTATGTTAGATTTTACAGTCTTCATTTTTTTTCCCCGAAAAAGAAAATAAAAAATAGAGTACTGAAGTTTCATTACTCTTTTTACCGATCTAAAGAAAATGAGACTACACAATCAACTCCTGTTAAAATTAGACAGCTAATCCCCTCATAAACAGAAACCACAATAGCATCCGAGGGAGAGACAATTGAGAAATACAAATAATGGCTATAACCACGGTTCTGCTGGTTCAGAAAATAGCTGAATTTTAACTGATTCTTAAATTTACGGTTATGATTTCGGTTTGTAAACTTCCGGTTCAAGTTCGATTTTAGATCGATTCTGAATAAAAATTTCACCCCGTTTTATTGAAAATTTCAATCTGATTTTTTTACGGTTTTAATTTGTTTTTTTTTTTACAATTTTAATTCAATTTGTTATTGTTCTTTTAAATTAAATCTAAAATGGTACCTGGCGAGCATGTGTTAATTTTATTAATATTAAAAAAAAATTACACAAGTCAATACTTAAGACTTACTAAAAGAAATAACTATCGCAAACTTTTTTTTCCAAAAAATCCGATACAATTCTAGTTCAGAAACAAAAAAGAAATTAAATATTATATTTATTATTTTTTCTGTCCCAAAAAAGATTCATATTCAGTTTTGAGATTTGTACTATTTATTTTCCTAAGATAGAGGTAGTACGATAGAAAATCTATGTCTATTTTTTTAAAAAAAAAAAAACTAAAGCTATTAAGATTTGATTTAAAATATTACATGAATTCTACAAACTATTACAAAGGAGAACTAACTGACACGTAAGTATGGCACTTGTTGTTGATCCAATATTAGCAGAAAAATTATTCCATACAATAAGTGTATCATTTTTTTAGTGCAGCAACACACCTTTTATATTGGAAATTATCATGGTCCTCTTAATTTTGTAATAACTTTTCCGGTAAAATTACAATCTTACCTTATTTATACAGTTGTGTCCATGCTTGAAGAAAGGAAAGTTGTTCTGTTGAAACTAATTTTGCCAAGACATTTGCAACATAATTAGAGGTGCAGCATAATTAACCTCTACGTATACATTCATAATTAAGAAAAAATTAACAAGAAAATTAAAAACCGAGCTATAAAAATGAGATGTAACAATTATTTAATCTTTCGTGATTTTAGAAAAAAAAATCGGAATATGAAAATTTTGTCTATCTTTTTAACTAATAAAAAATTAATGAAATTAACAAAGCATATATACAATGATAAGTTATTACCCATATAAACACACTGATATAAATTTGCAATAAATCTGTTAGCATGCCAAAGAAATTAAAAGAATACTTACATTTTTTTAATCAAAAATATAGGACGGTACTTGACTAGTATAATTTGATTTTATTAATTAAAAATTAAATACTTAAGACAATGTTTCAGACTTGCTCAAAAAGACAGATTGAAATACCATTTTCTCTAATACTAACAATCTAGAAACAACAAAAGTATAAGTTCTAAAAAATAGTAAAAATTTCATAAAAACTAACTTGTAATAACAAAAAAATCAGTGGGTTGCGACTATATGAACTGTCAATTTAGGATTTGTTAATTGTTTGAATTGTAACGAGTTCTTGACTAGGCAATCTGTCACGATTTTTAAACCCATCACTTACGATTCTAATTCCGGTGAAAACCTAAACCATAATCACATTATGTACAAGTAAACTATCGAGATCAAACAGAAAAAATATTCTATTAATTGATACGAATCACAGATTGTAAATTTAATGTGTAAGTTATTTTGTTAAGAGAACTGGAAATGCCTATATAGGTTCAAAGGATATTCACTTTCAATCACAATTAAAATTTTATATTTGGCGAAAGATATGTTCGGGAAATAAAGTTGTATAAAACACAAACCTATGACCGATATGAATTGATAACATGAAAACTTATCTGACAAACGAGAAGATTTTGCATGGGAATGCCCCTTCGAATTTTTTTTACCTAAATTTTCCCTCATTATATACGAACCCTAAGAAAAGTTCATAGAATCCCTACTAGATATGAGTACTCTGCATCATCGAAATTGATTATCAAAAAAAATTCAGTATGATTGAACATATATAAACAGCCAATGGTACTAGCAGCAATAACAAATTGACCGATCCACGAGTTGCGGGTACAAATCTTCA